TGTTGTTGTTATTGTTATGTGCCGTCGAGCCGCCTGCGACTCATAGCGACCCTATGTACAACAGCCCTAAACTCCGCTCTGTCCTGTGCCAATCGCACTGTCTCCTATATACCCATCCCGATTACCCCAGTCACTGAATCAATATCCTCAGACGTAGTTTAAACAGGTAGATTTTACATTACATTTGCAATGTAAACATGACATTTGATTTCCACTGCTCTTTCCTGTGATTGTTCAAGGACCACAATCTTGCTTTTGATTCTCATAAGAAGAGCAGAGTGTTTTACTCTCGACAGATCTTAAAAGCAAATACCTGCTTGACTGTGTACATCTCCAGGGGAAGCTAATTCCAAATTCTTACTAGAACAGTAGGCACTTAAGAACAATCCAACTTTATTACTGGTTAAAAGGTTTGTTTTCTGTTTTTCCTTCTAGAAACCACACTTATTTCATACTTTACTTCTAAAAGTTGCAATCTTTGCTGTTATTATCTTATGCTTGTCCTGAGTACCAGGAATTCCTCCAGAAGAATAAATTGCATACTTAAATAGTATGCTTTGCTTTTTTTGTCTGTTCGTTGCAAACGACTCAACGGCACATAACAACAACAACAATATATTGAATGACCAGACTCTGTATAAAAATTAAAAATAAACAAAAATAATAAAAATAAAAGAATTAGACTAGTAGCTAAAAAGTTGGCAGTTCAAAGTTAACTAGTGCTCTGTGAGAGACATATGAAGCACCTGTCCCAGTGGAACTGTAGCCTGAGCCGCCCTGTGGGCAAGTCCCACTCTGCCCTCCGGGGCTGCGAGGACTCAGCATCACCTCTACAGAAACTGGACATGGGTTTGGGTTTGGAAAGAGCATTATCTTTAGAAATCATTATCATGATGGTCAACATTTTATACACTTGGATATTCTTTTAAGAAAAGAAAAAAAGATAAAAGACATCACTCTCTCAAGCAATTACTTAAAAAAATTCTGAAGACCTGAACACGAAGAATCATCAAATAGATAGCTACTTATCTCTTCTGGGCTGCTCACCTGGTACCCAGAATGAGTTAATATACATAGACTGGCCGCCATCCACTTCCACAACCTGTCCAGTGATGAAGGAAGCTGCAGGGGACAGCAAGAAGCAGACCATGGATGAGACCTGTAAACAGAAATACATAGATAAATGCATAGACAAAAGCATGTGCCCCCAGTTGTCCCTGCTTTGTGTTCATAAACAAAGACACATCTCTCAAGACGTGTGACTACAGCATAATATGTATTTACCGGAATGTGACAGTACACAGATAAGGTCTTCTACTATTTGAGCATCATTACAATCAGTTATGTGTCTGGGGTACAGAGGACAAGAGGGGAAGGGGAAGCCTTTATCAATGCTGAATAAACCACCCAATGTGAGCCAAGTGTGCATGCATTTCAAAGAGTTCAGTTCCTTCCACTGCCCACCTCAGCCCCACTTTTCTTCACTTGTTGTTCTTGTGTACCATCAGGTCAGAACCAACCCATAGCTGACCCTCCAGTGGGTTTTCAGAGGCAGTTAATCACACAGGAGGAGACTGGTCATCCTTCTCCCATGGAGCAGCCGGTGGCCTCAAACCATGTGCCTTGTGCGTGTCTTATATTTTGATCTCTGTGATGTCTGTATCTTAATAAACCAGCATTCTGCTTTGTTCTACCCATTGTCCTATCATAACAAAGCCCACACAGACAATAGGAGCTTTCTGTAAGAGGGACTTCAGAATCCCACTGCCTCAGCTAAGATATCAGGGAGATCACTGATGAGTCCAGGAACATGTACCTGAAAAACCAAAGAATAATATAGTAACGCACTGAATGAAAAGAGAATCTAAGCACAGGCAGTTTCTCAAACAGTGATCCTAAGACTCTTATTTTAGAATTGCTAATGATTTAAAGCATAAATATTACATGCAAGGAAAATTTTACCAAAAATTATTCAAAAACTACTGGAACAGTAAGTACATCAACAGGCAACTGCCAGAAATTCAAGCTGGATTCAGAAGAGGCCAGTTGCTAATGCCAGAAGGATCTTGGCTGAAACTGGACAATACTAGAAATTGCTTTATTTGTGTTTGGTGATTAAGCAAAGGCATTTAACTATATGGATAATAATAAATCATGGCTGACATTGAAAAGAATGGGAATTCATTACGCTCATGCAAAACCTATAGATAAAACAAAAAGCAGTTATCCAAACAAAATAAATTTAAAATAGTTTAAAATCAGGGAAGGTATTCACCAAAGTTGTAACATTTCTCTTTATCTGATCAGCAAAGCACTGGAGAAGCTGGACTCTTAGGAAGAAGAATGTGGCATGAATATTGGAGGAAGACTTGTCAACAATCTGTATCATGAAGATGACACAACCTTACAGAATGTGAAGAAGGCTTAAAGCACTTAATGCAGATCAAAGACCACAGCCCTCAATACGGGCAAAATCTCATCATCAAGAAAACAAAAACCTCACCACTGGACCAACAGATGACATCGTGATAGATGGAGAAAAGATTGATGTTGTCAATGATTTCATTGTACTTGGGCCCACAATCAACACTCATGGTACCAGCAGTCAAAAGATGAGTTGCATTAGGGAAATCCGCTGTCAAGGATCTCTCTAAAGTGCTAAAGAGCAACGACGTAAACTTAAAGACTAAGATGCACTTGGTTCAAGACACGGTCTTTTCAATTGCTTCCAATGCATCTCAAAGCTTAGTAATGCATAAAGAAGACTGAAAAAGAATCAATGCCTTTGAATTGTGGTGTAAAAGAAGAGTCCTGAATATACCATGGAGAGTACATACACAGGGAACTGCTAGAAATTCAGAAGGATTCAGAAGAAACCATGGCAAGACAGCTATCACTGCTGATGACAGAAGGATCTTGACTAGAAGCCGAGAATATCAGAAATATGTTTACTTGTGTCTTATAAGTATACAAAATCATTCAACTGAGTGAATGATGACAAATTACGAGTAGTAACCCTGAAAGCAATGAGAATCCCAAAACACTTAATGTGTTCATACAAAATTTGTATGTGGACCAAGAACCAGTTGTTTGAACAAAACAGCAATGTGCTACACGGTTTAAAAGTAGAAACGATGTGTATCAGGGTTGTTTCATTTCACCCTATCAAAAGAACAAACAAATCTATCTTGGAGAAAATACAACCAGAGTGCTACTTAGCGGAACGGATGGTGACACTTTGTCTTACGTACTCTGGATACATTGTTAGCAGGGGCCAGTTCTCAGAAAAAGACATCATCGTTGCAAAGGTAGATAGTCCAACAAACGAAGACTCTCAACAAGACTGACTGACACAAAGACTGTAGCAATGAGCTCAAGTCCATCAGAGATGAGGAGGATGACACGGGATAGAGCAAGGTCCACATCTGTGTTTCACAGGGTCACTAACAGAGTAGTCACCTCAGTGGTACCTAACAACGATGGCACTCAGTGTGTAAGATGAGTGAATACGCTGAGAAGCTGGACTATCTGAAGAAAAAATGAGGCATCAGAATCGGAGGGAGCCTCAACAAGAACTTGTGATATGTAGATTCTATAACCTGGACTGTGGGAAGTGGAGGATTTAATAGAGTACTTAATAAAGGAGATGAAGGTCTATTGCCTCTAATATGGATTACATCTCAACATCAAGAGAACATAGTCTTCACTCCTGGACCAATAAACAACATCATGATAGATGGAGAAAAGATTGAAGTTGTCAATGATTTTTCTTTCTCTTGGATCTACCTTCAGTACCCATGGAAGTAGCAGTCAATTCAAATATCCTAAGGGAGTAAAAGAGATGGAAGTAAATAGAGAACAAAGGTGTGTAAATGGGAGAACCAGGTTGTGTTAATGGGTCCTGGATGAACAAGTCTTGTTCCTAAAGTGCACTGACGTGCATACTGTTGTGGTGGTGTTTGGGGGCCATCATCTTGAATAAGACTCCCAGAGACCCTATAAACGATAGATATCTGTCCTATCCTGTGCCGTTCTCATCCTTCCTGACACACTTGAGTCCGTTGTTGCAGTCACTCTGTCAATGCATGTGGCTGAGTCTCTTCCTCTCTTTTCAGTGACCTTTCCAAGCATAATGTCGTTTTCGAAGGAATTGCCCTTCCTAACAACATGCCCAAAGTATGTGAGATCAAGTTTTGGCACCCTTGCATCTAAGGAGCGCCCTGGATGCAGTTCCCACAAGAAAGACTTGTTAGTTCTTTTGGCAGTCCATGGGCTGTTCAGTACCCTTCACCAACACCACAGCTCAAAGACATAGGTCTGTGCAACCAAAACCTTGTGTTTGTGTTGGTTTCTAGGTTTCTAAAACCTGATTTAGTGGTTGTTCCTTTCTTCCCAGAGATTTGGTTATGTAACTGCTTCTAGTCCCATTCTTGGAACGTCAGCGGATCCCCCACAATTTCTTTAGGGTCCCCTGAGAAAATGTGTTCATCGCACGTAGCCGGCTTAGTAAGATGAGTGCGATGATCATCACATGCACCTCACAGCACTTCTCAGTCACATTTCCCAAGAAACGAAGCAAGCGGGGAGTCAGACCCACATGATTTACTGAAGGGGAGTATAGAGAAAGAACAGGAGGGAAGGAGTTCAACACAGATGCTGTCTCATTTCTAACAACTTCAGCCTGATGCTGTGGCCAGCTTTTCCCCTGCAGGAGCTGCCCTTCTTTACCTGAGAAGCCACTCATGCCCTCCTCTCTGGAGACCACCCTCTGTTCTCTCTGCTGTGTCATCAAATCCTTCCTGGCCACTAATTCTTTCCCATCACCATTTATGCCCTCAACTTTATCTTACCTTATACGTGCTGTCTTCTCTATTCTACATTCAGTCTAGACTCCACCATCTCCCCTCTCCATCACAAGCAAATTTTCTGAAGCAATTACTTAGCAGTTCAAAGTGTGGTTAGCAAAAGTTGTCCATCTGAGTCCTTTTCATGGGCGTGCTAGGTAAAAACTATGTAACACTGCTAACATTGGACTTTAATAAGATGACAAATTAGATGGAAAAGTTACTCTATCTACAACAAAAATATGAAAAACCAGAAGATATCAGTGATAATCCTAGAACCCTGGTCTTCAAAGGCAATGAAAAGAAGTGAGTCAGGTACCAAGAAGAAGAAACTGAGGGAAAACAGCTAGCAAGGAGAAATGGAGCGGTGAATCGTTTGTTGACCCGACATAGCAGAACAGCAGCAAACAGCGTTCTATTCAGGGAAGTAAGTTAATTATCAACTCCACTCACTGAAGACTGCACCAGTGCCCACACCAGGAGCTGGAGACCAGACAAGGGGGATCTTCCCTTTATTCCCTGCACTTGCTGGTCACCAGAGGTACAGCTATCCTCCACCTTCACCCATATGGCAAGTGGAGACATGCCCCACTGTGGGGCCCTTATTCAGCCTGATGAAAACTGGGCGTGTACTTCCTGCATCTCCCCCCAGCAGAACACGTGGTGCCAGACTAGGGGACCTGCCCTGGTTTCCTTCTGGGCTGGCAAGAACACCTTCCAGGGAGATCAGATGCTCTGCCCTGAGTTACCCTTCAGACAGGCAGGGACTATTTTTTGGGATACGGCAGTCTGTCACTCTCCTTTTTCAAACCTGCCACAAACTCCTCCAAGGCACCAGGGCCCTGCTGCCAGTCCCTTTCCAGGCTGGCAGTAACGCATTGCCGGATGCGATACCCTTGCTCCCACCACTTCCTCTCCCTGCAGGGGCACCACCCCCCTGCCAAGCTTGCTTTCTTTGCTTTTAATCTCTGTTTCTATTTTCTCATTTTTTTTATTTTTTTCTTCCTTTCTTTTTCTTGTTTTAAAAAATAGTCTCTTTCCCCTTTTCTGTTTTCTTTCCCTTCCTAGTTTTTCCTAGATTTTTTTTTTGTCCCCTGTTTTTCTATTTCCATGTTCCTTCTCTTGAAATTGTTGTTTGGGGGTTGTTTTGGAGGTTTGTTGTGTTTTTTATTTTCCTTTCCCTGCTTTGCATCTTTTTTAAAAAGCAAACAAATAAACATGTTCTTTATTCCCATTTGAGTAATTTATTTATTTGCACCACTAGGCAGGAGACAGCAACCATGCTCACACTTTTCAAACACACACACCCATGTCTCATGCAGTCTCACCTTCCGGGTGAGAGTCACTGCCCATTTCTAGACCCTCTATCCACAATAGATGACACTCAACCAGCCTCAGTTGCTTTTCATCAAGAGTGAACAGTGCAGAAATCTGCACATACATTCCTTCTTCTATCAGACTCATCAGAAGACAGGTAGAAAGCACCAAAATTTGGCCAAACTAGCAAACAAAGTAGTATAACCACCTGGTACATTCTGAAATATCACAACAAACTATAGGAACAAACAAAAACAGAACAACAAAAACAACCAAAAAAACCCCCCAAACACCTGAGTTATATATACACCCCAACTCACAACCCACGATTAAATACAAACACAATAAACTGCAATATCTCAGAGAAAACAGACACTGTCAGTCCACCAAAACAAGCAGTCCAAATACATAAGCAAAATACAAAGCAAGAAAACCTACATGAAGAATAAATGACATTGGAACTAATTGATAAGTAAATAAAGTGTTATTTAGGTTCTTTCAATAGATGAATAGGAATTTCAAGGAAACTACTGTCAAAATCAAGGAAGAAAGACAAACTCCAGAAGATTTTTTTTTTATAAATACAAGAATAAATTGAAAAAAGAAATTCAAAACTTCAAAAGAAGAGCAAAGAGACATCTAGAAGATTAATACTAAGTTTTTAAAAATAGATATCTTTAAAAGGCAAAAGAGTACAAGAACTGAATGAATGGAAAACAGAATTAACAATCTTGAACGTACATGTGAGCAATTTTATACATTGAGAAATATAGAATATGTATATTTTGGTTTTTTTTTTCCTGTTCTTTAGAACAAGATCTTTATTGCTGTTGTTGTTTTTTAAATGTTTAGAGATAGTTTTCTTTCTGAGTGTTTAGCTTTTGTTATTTTGTCATTTAGCTTTGTGGAAAAGTAAAGATGTTAGTTTGAAGACTAAAGTGTGCCTGCTTCAAGCCATGATCTATTTTCAATCATGTGCTATGTATCTGAAAATCAGACAAGGAATAAGGATGACAGAAGAATCAATGCCTTTGAGTTGTGGTGTTGGAGGAGAACGTTGAATATCCCAGAAACTGCCTAAAGAACAAATAAGCATGGCTTGGAAAGGTACCATGAGGGTGTTCCTCGGAGACAAGGATAGTGAAACCTTGTCTCATATATTCTGGGCATCCTGCTAAGAGAGGCTTGTCCTTGGACAAGAGCATCATGCTTGGGAAGGCCGAAGGGTCAGTGAAGGAGGGGGACATCCTCAATGAGGTGGACTGACAAAGTGACCGTAATGGTAGGCTCGAGTATGTCAGAGATGAGAAGATGACAAGATAGGGCAGGGCTCAGATCGAGCAATCAGGGGGTCACTATGAGCGGTAGTCAACTCGACAGCACTCATCAACAATTATTGTGGAGGTGTATCTTATTAAAACTTAGATTGTTTACACTTGAAAAGCTATTTCTCTACCTTTACCTGGCTTCCTTAGTGAAATCGTAACATGGATACCTAACTCACAGAGGGTCCTAACTACTGACAGGTAACATGTAATAAGATAATATAGCTAAAAAGTACAATGAACTAAAGAAATAATCTGTTGTGATTTACTCCGTTCACAGTAAAGATACTTTTTATTCAAAACACAACCAGGATATTCTCCAAAACCACCGCATATTGAAAATGGTTTGCAGGTAGTGGGAGAAATCATCTCGACTTGTCAACCAGACCATATCAAAAGGACACTAAATACTATAAACTTCCAAAGTATAAAACAGGATCATTTTAATCAGTACCAGAAATGTACATTACCTCTTCAGGTGTTCCAAATCTTTTGGCTGGAATTTGGTGAATACTCGAATACAGTTCTGCTGTCCTATCACCGTAGTTGGCAAATGCAGTCTCGGAATAAATTACACCCTATGGTTAAAAAGAAAGAAGAAACAAAATAAAGTAAAATTAATTCCAATTTCAATTACAATTTAAAATAAAAGTAAATGTTAACGGTTAAGAAATCCATCCAGGACAACTGATGCTAATGATTGACAAATGTCAGAAATCTAAACTTGTTGCTGTCAAACTTATTTCCACTCAGATTGACCCTAAGGATAAAGTAAACTTGCCTCTTGGAGCTTCCAGGCTGTAACCTTTACAGACATAGACACGGCATCTTGCTCTCATGCAAAGGTGGATAGGTTCTAACCTGGCTTTAGAAAAGGAGGGCTTAGCCATCGCACTGCCAGTTCTCCCTAGCAGAAAGTCATTATTGTTGTTGTTGTTGTGAGGCGCTGTTGAATAGGAATCGACTCATCACTGATGCTCCAACGAGTTTTCAGAGGCAGTAAATTGCATGGGAAAAGACTGCCCATCTTTCTCCCACAGACCAGCTGGTGGATTCAAACCACAGGCCTTTCAGTTGACAGCACAACTCCTTACCACTAAAGCACAAGAGCTCCTTGAGAGCTCCCTTCAATAAACTAAATTCAATAGGCAGGCCAGTATAAGCAAATTAACCACTGCGTTATCAGACCCCTTTATCTGATTTTGTTTAATATTATAGTACAATCAGCTACTATCAATAAATAACTTAACTGAATGTTCAGTCTGTGACATCCTCTTCCTTGACAAACAACTCAGCCTTAGATTTTCTGTGTAAAAGACTTGTCTTACGAAAGGCATAATTTTTGTTGAAATCAGAGATACTCTTAACTGGAAATTATGAGATTTGACTTATTTTCAAAGTAAGACTGGCTCTATGGTAATGTTGTTTTAGCTTTTCCTCTAGAGCGAAATCACAAACAAGCATTTCAATCCAAGATAAATAAACTAGCATTATATAAGAATTCTTTTATTACTTTTCACTAAATTTCAAGGGCTCATAAAACCAGGAAAAACTACCCCTGAACACTACTTGATAATAAAAGCTATTTATTATTGGCTCATAAATACAAAGAGGTTATGTAGAAAAGGGGAGAAGAAAGATGTCGCCGTAAGATAAGATACTTGGAAATATCAATTACCCCAAATGATATTGGGGAGATGTACTATTGTTGTTGTTGTTATGTGCCGTCGAGTCGCTTGCGACTCATAGTGACCTTATGTACAACAGCCCTAAACTCCACTCTGTCTTGTGCCAATCGCACTGTCTCTGACACTCCCATCCCAATTATCCCAGTCACTGAATCAATCCACCTCATAGAGGGTCTTCCCCTTCTGCACTGTCCCTCCACCCTCCCAAGCATGATGTCCCTCTCCAAGGACCACTCCCTCCTTACAACATGTCCAAAGTATGTTAGACGAAGCCTCAGAATCCTTGCCTCCAAGGAACCACCCAGTTTAACCCTTTCCAGGATGAATCTGTTTTCCTAACAGTCCATGGTACCCTCGATACTCTTCTCCAGAACCACAGCTCAAAGGCATCAATTCTCCTTCTATCCTCCCTAGTCAATGTCCAACTCTCTGATGCATAACAAGCGATCGCAAAGACCATGGCCTGTATCAGACACACCTTAGTCTCCAGAGAGACACCATTGCTCTTTAGTACTTTGGAGAGGTCCCTAACAACAGACTTTCCCATGGCAATATGTCTTTTAATTTACTGGTTACTGGTGCCAAGAGTGTTGACTGTGGAGCCAAGCAAACTAAAGCTGTGAACAATCTCAATCTCTTTACCATCTATCTTGATGTACTAGCTTCCAATTAAATGACTTTTAATCTTTCATGTAAAACAAACAGGCAAAAATCACTGCTATTGAATCAATTTTGACTCATAGCAACTCTTCATTAGTTTTCCATAGCTGCAAACCCTTAGAGGAAGAGAATTCCCATCTCTGTCCTCTGGAGCAACTGGTGGATTCAAACTGCTGACCTTTGGGTTAGCAACTCAAGGTATTATGCACTGTGCCACCAGGACTTTTTATATTTAAAGTTTTAAATATTCTAGACAAATTAAGGTTTAGATATTAAACCAGAAAAAAATCTCTAGAAGAGAAACATGAACTAAAATTGTACTTATAATTGTAATGTACCATTAAAGGTTTTCAAGAAAGCCAGTATTCCAAAATATAAACATTAAGAATGGAATCTCATGTGTTCTATAAGAATTTTCATAAAATGTGGATAAGAACACTGAAGAGAAAAAAAAAGAAGGGAAAAAAAATAAAAAAAAAGAACACTGAAGAAGAACCGATGCCTTTGGATTATGCCATTGGCAAAGACACAGTGGGCTGTCAAAAGAACGAACTGTGCTGGAAGTAGTAAAAACAGAGTGTTTCATAGAAGCCGGAAGGGGAAGACTTGATTTCACATCCTCTTGCTATGTTACCAGGCGAGGCAGAGCCTGAGAAAGACATCATAGTTGCTAGAGGATCAGTGGAAATGAAGATGACCTCCAACAAGACCAATTAACACAGAAGTTAACACCATGGGCTCAGGCACTGTGCTGACCGGGAGGGATGCTACAGGACTGAGCTGGGCCATACAAGGCCACTATGGACTCAACTCTGACTTAATGGTGCCTCAAAACAATAACGTCACTTCTGGAGGTTTGAAGACTATGAAGTCTTACACTTCCAGAGCTCTGTGATCCCTCTAACAAAGTCAGAGATTAGATTTCACTACTGACTTCTCATCAGACTTGCTTAGTTCTCCTGGAGCAGCACGGAAAACGGTATCATACATACTGCTCAAAGAGAAATAACATACACATGGATGCTACACAGTCTGAGTGGAATGATAACTGCTATCATTGCACTGACATTACAAAGAAAGCAGAAGTTAGGTCAAGTTTTGCTGGATGAACGAGATATTTAAAGTCCCTTTAGAAGTATATGGCCAGTAATGCCCAAGGAAGCTCAAGCTACAATTTTTTAAAAAATTGATAGTTTAAAAAAAAAAAAATTGATAGTTTTTGAGCTTGATTTTGTTGTAAATTTTTTTCTATCATTTTCTTAATATTTCAGATACATTTCATTTCTAGGTGAGCTTTAACGAGGACATGTTTTTCTAGAACTCAATTTAGAAGAAGATTAATGATTTACAAAGAAAAAGTAAACTCGAAAAACTCACTAAGCAGTGTTTCTAAACATTTACTGAGAATTGTACTTTTGTAGGGAGCACCTGAAAATGAAGACCTCTAGACTCTGTACTTTGGAGTAAAGCTTATACATCAGCACTTTAAAAAATTAACATCATTTTAACATACAACTCAGGTTGCACTGCAATTCCAAAGGGGGGAAGGGGGTGTGTGGTTCAAATCCACCAACTGCTCTGAAGAGGAGGATGGGCCATTTACTTCTGTGCGATTTACTGCCTCTGAAACCAACCCTGTTGGGTGCTCAGCTATGAGCCAGTTCCGAACCCCGCAGTACACAACAACAACAGCAACATATATGCATACAAGAAAAAACTATCAGAAACACAAATGGGTTTAGAAAAAGCACAATTTTCAACAGTTTTCACATGGTTTACCTACAGGCGCAACACAGTTGAGTCGTACTCCACTGCTGGCCCATTCCAAGGACAAGGTCTTGGTGAGATTGCAAACTCCTGCTCTTGCAGCTCCACTATGGCTTTTAAAAAGAAAACAAACATTACCATCAGCTTCTGGTCAATATTTCTCTTCTTTACATAAATTGACACGTGTGCCAATAACCAGACAGAGCCTGTAGAGCATTCTTATAAGTCTGTATCTTGTTGAGTCCGTGTCTAAAAAATAAGGATAGAACCAGACCCTTCAATATTAGAGTCAAACCAAGTGCCTCAGTTACCTAATGCTGCTACAACAACTATACCACAAACAGAGAGTTGTAACAAACAGAAATGTCTTCTCTCAATGTTTAGAAAGTTAGAAAGAAAAATCCAGGGGAGACTTCCTTTGTGAGTTTGGGAGGAAGGACTTTTTGTCATTCAGCTTTTATGTCCTGGTTGCTTCGAAGTCTCCATCTGGCTTGGTAACAGCCTTTCCCCATCTCTCTCTGCTGGCTAATTTAATCTCTTTTTTATTTCTCAGAAGAAATTGACTCGGGATACATTCTACCTAAAATCTGCCTTATTAACAAACACAAGCCTATAAAGGCTTTGAGATTGGTAACATAGGTCTCCTCTGTGCCTTCTGCCTGCATGCCAATCTTAGAGCTCTGAATAGCCCTCCAATCATTATACTGGTGACGTCACAGGTTCCAGAAGCGCATGTACTGTGGCTGATGGTAAAACAAAGCGGCATGTCCTCCGAGCGCTTCAGGACCTCGTGCTGAGAAGTGGACCCATCTACTGGTACTTGGCATGGGTCCATCCATCAGATGGACTGGCTACTTTGTTCTCCCGATTGACCTAATGGAACCAACCATTCTGCTGCATGGAGGATCTCAATATTCACGCTTCACCTGGACTGGGATGGATCATTCCTTTTCTAGCATATAGCAAGGAAAGGTGACTTTCCTCACAAGCACTCACGTACCTTTTTAAAAACAGCATCTGTGTTATACTGAGGCAGGGAATGTCCTGGGAGCAGACACTGCTCTCACTCCCCAAAAAAGCTACTAGTGTGATCCTGACAGAAGGGGGAAAATTACCCCATAATTCCTTTGTTCCCCTTTAAGTTCTCCCAAGCAAGAGTAGGCTGGACTTCAGTGATCCACTGCCAATACGTGATCTTGTTAAGATTTCACCACAGTCCCATAGTCCCCAGCTGCCTGTGTATGACAGAGCAAGCCCATGGCCACAATACTGGGCTGATGGCTAGGAACAGAGTACATCGGAACATGAGAGTTCTCTTCCGGGATTTCACTGGGACTCTGGCTCCTGCCCACCTGGGCATCTCCCGGCACTTTTTGAGACATATTTTGTTATCAACTGGAGTGCAGATCTCTGACTACTGCTAGTTCCTTCTTTGCCACATAAGGACAGAAGCCACTTGAAAGTGAAGACGAATTCAAGGCAAGGAAAACTGACAGGTAGATCCTTGACAGCATCATGTGGTTCTACATGCACCAAAAAGACCAGAACGACTTGCAAACCTGGGCTGCTGCGCCCCACCTCCAGAATTTCTCATGCTGTCAGTCCAGAGTGGGGCTGAGGAATTGGTCTTTCTTGCACCCCACCCCCACCTCCAGAATTTCTGATGCAGCCAGTCTGGAGTGGGGCTGGTGAATCTGTCTTTCTAAGTCCCCAGGTGATTCCAGCACTGCTGGTCCAGAAACTGCACTGAGAAATCTGTCCTAGATTATTAAGCCTGTTCAAATTTTATTCCTACCCAATGCAACTGAATGAGTACTGGGAAGCTTGAAGGAAAGTTTACAGTGAGATGAATTAGAAGTACAAAATCTCGGAAATATTTTGGGGGAAATGTCTGAGTTATCTGTTAAAAGTAAGCATTTTTGCAGTCCAGTTTAAAACTGAATAGATGTATTTTATACTTATTACTGGCAACCAAATTATCATGCAAATTAGTTTCATTTCCACACCTTAATGAAGAGATTGGCCCCAAATATCAACACCTATGTTAGCCACATCCTGATTTGTACTGACAGATAAAATTCAGGAGGCTCAGTTAAATTTGAACTTCAGAAAAATACCAAACATTTTTATTTCAGAATAATTTTACATAATATGGCCCATGCAATATTTGGGACACATTTATACTAAAAACTTAATAAACTGGGCATTCTGTCATCATGTTTCACCTTTTTTCTTGGTAACACCAAACAGCAATGTTTTCGAAATACACATTTAAGATCAAATAAAGAGAAATGCTAAGTATTGAGCTCACAACTTATGAAAAGTATTCATGATCTTGATCCAAGGAATTTCATCTGCCCCACTGCCACACATTGAGAGGGCAAAACTCCCAAACCGAGGAGGAAATATATATAAAAAAAAATGCTTACGCAGCATATGGAAATCCACTTTTAGTAAGGACAACGATATTGACAATAGATCCGCCATGTGCCTGCATCCAGGAGTTATAAACTGTAAAATGTAAATGACAGTCCTATAAAACTGGGTCTTGAGCACTCTAACTCCCTGTCTACTCAATAGATTTTAAATAGTATTTCATGTTTGATTTTTCTGAAACACCTTATTGAGGTATAATTCACACCTCATTAATTCCACTACTTCAGGTGTACAATATAATTATTTTTAATAAATGTAGGAAGTCGTGCAACCATCACCACAATCCAGTTTTTGACCATTTCTATCAACCCCCAAAAATGTTTCCATTTACTCTTTTGTAGCCTGCTCCAAACCCTGACAAGCACTAAAGAACTTCATTTCTATGGATTTGTCTTTTTTTAAACATTTTATACATGGGACCACACAAATTAGTAGTATTTTTCTGTGTGTAGCTCCTTTTGTTTAGCGTGTTTAAGGTATATCCATTTTCTTTTCTTAACATGTCAAAAACAGGAGAGCAAAACCTTTGGTCTCTAATGATTATGGGACTTGCACTAGTAACCTGGAATGAAGCCCCTGGTGGTGGTGCAGAAAAGGTTAAGCTACTGGCTGGCAACTGAAATGTGGGGGTTTAGGTACACCCCACTCAGAAGCAAGTCTTATGATCTACTTCTGAAAAATCAGTCTTTGAATGCCATAAAAAAGGAGGATCCTACTTTCACACATATGGAGTTACCATGACTCAGAATATGTTCGATCCCTATTGGGTTCTTTTGTTTGTTTGTTAATATGCTATTCCTAGACACTCACCAGGTCTTTTTATGACCTAGTAAAGAAGGAAGACTAAAGTTCTCTTATTTAAGTATCTGGATTTAGAGGGTGTGTGTGTGTGTGTGTAGTTCTACATCACAATACAGAGTTTTATACAGTTAGAGAAAGGGTAGGAATGTTTATATAGTCTTGACTTGAAAAGGAATCCTGGTGGTTTCCTGGTAGTTAAAGAATGAGAGGAAGGGCAGCAGTTCAGACCCACCAGGCCTCTGAAGGAGAAAGATGTGGAAGTTTGCTTCCATAAAGACTTCCGGCCTTGGGAATCCCATGTAGCAATTCTGCTCTGAGTTCCCTATGAGTTGAAAGTGGCTTGGCAGGAGTGAGTTTTTGGTGCAGACTAAGAGGCACTAAAACTAAAGCTCACTCTACATTAGAGCTAGATTTGAGTTCTTTGGGATAGAGTTATATTCCTTCTACATCTTTTCATCCTAAAAATAGGTAGTTTATGAGGGAATCCTTGAAACACAAATTCAAGAGTTTAATGTTCCTGCCTAATTCTTTAATCCGAAGTCTTACCTACAAACTAAAAGTTGCTACTTAGGAAGCAGAAGGGTCCTATTCTGGTGTTATTCCTGAAGATCTGACTGAATGAATATCTGAGTTAACAAATTGGTCCTTACAATTGATGTAACTGGTCCATTCACTTCTTAAAAGCAAAATAAGTGTAAGAATTTTCTCTAATTTTATGATCATCTTAGTATTAGGACTGCAGAGCCCTTTACTTCCATTCTTCCTCTCCTAGAATGGCTACTGAGAGAATCCAGTCATAGAAAACAGCAGCTGTGCTTTTTCTCTCTGTGAAACTACTGTACCCCTCTTTTCCCAGGAATAGTTATCTGAGACCCCAGTCCAGTTCCCTCTCTTGAAGGAAGCATCCCCTTCCCCAAGTCCCTTGTAAGAAAATATAAAATGTCCCTCTAACTTTTAGTGGCAGCTAGTCTTTTGCTTGAGAATCAGCCCAGCAGTTTCTCCTCAATAAAATGTCCCTTCTTGGCCTGAACTGGGTTCTGTCCTTCCTCGGCGAACTTAGACTTAATAACTAGATCTCAGTACACATCTTGATACAGACAGATTTTTCTCATGACAGATTACTAGAAAAAGGATGATAAGATCAAAGAATATCTATATTTTGCAAACACTGCCAAATCAATGTGCCACTTTACATTCTCGTATGTGTGTTATTAGAAAAATCAGAGAAGTAAACATTGGCGCTGGAAGAATTCTGAGTCCCTAACAACGTTTCCTTAAAGAACTCTAAGATCTTAAAAAAAAAAAAAAGACCCCTTGGCTTCCCCCACTGTGCGGCCCACTTGCCTGCTTTGCACATATAGAAGGTGCCTGTCAAGTTGGTTTCAACCACAGCATTCCATCCCTTGGCACTGATGTGTTCAGCGGTAGACAGGAACTGGCCTCCTCCATTGTTCACCAAGAAATTAATCTTACCATAACGATCTAAGGTAGTTTTGACCAAATTATCCACCTAAAGAAAAACATTTGAAGCAAACCAATTAATAGCCAAACCTCCTCCATGGACTGCTCACAACCTCTCAAAGTGAACAGTTAACTCTAACCACCACAATAAACAGGCATGAGTAAGGTAAGAAGCACCCAGGAAAATAAGGTGTCCAGCATGCACACCTTGTAAAGCTACACTCATCACTTTGAGGACAAGATCTACCCAGGGGTCTGCACCCACCTCTAAGTGGCTCGAGTAGAGCGTAACGTGATAAACTCAAGCAAAAATGAACATCAAGAAGCAAAGGGAAGTCCAGGTGTGGCACAAATCATTACCTGCTGAAAAGCAGTTCTCGCCCAGAGACACCTCAGAAGAAAGCCTGGCAACTTCCTGCAGCAAAGTCACAACCTTGAAAACCCTGTGTGGTAATTCCACTCTGCACACTGGGCATCATTGTCTGAATCCATCCAACAGTCAATAGTTGTTGTTGTTGTTGTTGTTAAGTGCCATAGAGTTGTAGACAACCCATAGCAACCCAGTAACAACATTCAAAATCTACACAGTTCTTGTCGTCCTCGGTTGGCTAACAAGTAACTGCCAGCATGAGTTATGTTCTAACTACCTGGATCAGGTATGGTTCTGGTAGCCTAGGGATAAGGAGCTGCACTGCCAACACAGAGGCATGCAGTTCAAATCCACTGGCTGCTCTGAGAATGACTGATGGGCAATCTCCTCTGAAAACATACTGCAGGGTCTGCGATGAGTCGGTTCCTACTTGATGGCATCTAACAATAAGATCAAAAAAACATTTGGACCAGAAAGCTTCTGAACAGTTTTTACACTCCAGTAAAAGCAAATGGACACTGATGTCCTTCACCTGAGAAGGCAATAGTGCCGAAAAAGAAAATTCATGAAAAACTAGGCAAGATGTACTCTGTTCCCGCCAGATGCCATCTTTGAGTTTGGATTCTGAACCCATTTTGATGGTGGCGGGAATACTGATGTCCACATGACTTACATTTAATTAGTCTGTGCAAAGAAAAATGAACCCAAATCTGGACTTGTGAGGCAGTTTGTCTGACCTCAGGCAGCGGAGCAAGAAATGCGAGACCACAAGAAAAGTCAGAGGGGCAGAGGCCAAGACAAAGAAAAATCAGAGTCAAAAAGCAAGTGTTGGTGATGACAAGATACGATATATGAAGATTCTGTGCTGACTTGACTTGCGAGGATTATGCGGATTTTTCAGAGGTTAATGAAATATAAAAGTTAAAATATAAATAGCAAAAAGAAATAAAGAGGGTAAAATAGTGTCTACGGGAGGGCATCCTTGCTTGGCTTCTGTATCCCACTTCCACCCTGCCCTTCTGTAGGGTTTTTCAATCCCATAACCTATTTGTTCCACAGTCTCCTCCACAAATTCTATTTCTAGAGTTAGCCAGCTACCCTGGAAGAACATGAAAGTCTGGGTAGGGAGAGACTCCTGTGTTTTAAAATGGATGAGCAAATGGAACAAAATAGATTTTCATTACTACAGATTTTTTTTTTTTACCTCCTCTTCCTTACGGATGTTGCATTGGATAGGAGTGACTCGAGCCTGGCTGTTGGAAGGCAGGCTGGCATTGAGTTCATCTGCAGTCAGTTTTAATCTGTCAAATTTACGAGATGCAATGACCACATTACATCCTGAGGGGAAAAGAACCAGAGAGCAATAAATACGCTTTGGGCTGCCTCCAAATTTACTTTCCGGGGTGGAAAGTCTGTCCCATCTTTGAGATGTTAACTTGCTAATCAATCTATCTTTATCTATCTATCTATCTAAATAAATTAACAACTACACTTTGTTAGTTGGCGAAGGAGAAAGGTGGATGGATGATCTCCTCCCGTGAGATAAATACCTCGGAAAATCCACCCACTGGAGGGTTTGGGTCCGTTCCAACTCGACACAACAACAACCATTTCCAACAACATACATGTTTCGAAAATGGTTCTTGGGTTTCTATTAAAATAATGGATAAGTTGCACACCCATGTTTATCGTGGCTTTGTTCACAATAGCAAAGAGTTGGAAACAACCTAAGTGCCCATCAACAAACGAATGGAGAGAGAAGCTCTAGTATACTCACACAACGGAATACTACTACGCTGCATTGAAAAACAAGGAACTCATTAAATATGATTCAAAATAGGTGACTCTGGAGGACATTATGCTGAGTGAAGTGTCTCAGTCACAAAAGGACAAATACTGCATGGTGCCACTGCTGTAGAATGGGACTGACATCGGGGTTGGGGTAAGACTGAGAAAAACTGGATAAATAATATATACTGCAGATAATGTATGAAACAGATGAGGGAGAGAACAATTTAAAAGTGATATATGATAGGGTATTATGGTTATCACAGAGTCCAGAATTAAGGTTGCATAGTGGAGTGTACTTGGGGCGGTGGCGGTTGAGAGTGCGGGATTGTATACCAATGAAAGAATTTTTCTTTCACTTTTCAAAGAGAGGAGTGAACTGCGGGGGAGGGCTGGGCAGGGAGAAAAGTGCAACAATGAATGAATGGAAATCCAAAATCTCTCTAAAATGTTCATTAAAATTAATAAAATAAAATTTTTAAAAAATTCTTTAAAAAGTCAACACATATGGAAAATAAAGATAATAAATTGCTTGTAAATCTAAAAAAAAAAAAACAACAAAAGTACGCCTAGATGTTGGATTATTTCTCTGTGAGAGCTCTATATATAATAAGGGCTTTTGTCATACATTTTGAAGGCTTTTTATATCCCTTAATCATATATGGGGAGCTCTGGTGGCCCAGTGATAGAATATGTGAACAGGAGCCTCAGAGTCTCTCAATTCGGTGACAACCTTTTCCAGTTAAATGACCTCTTTTCATGTTTCTTAATCACTGATATTAGGCAATATTATATGCAGAACAGTGGATTAATGTTAAATACAAATTCTTTCCCATGGCATGCTTCCACAGATTTCTCTATCTCCGCCTTGGGAACAACAAAACCTTTGGCACTAAGTGCTCCCTTTAGTTTCTAATCAGTTAATTATCATCTAACTGATGCCAGCAATGTCTTAGCGAGAACCCCTTTCCCCTCTTTCTCTGTTTTAACGTCCTCATCTCCATACACGTTTGCAAGTCCAGACTCGCCCAGTCTCAGTCCTGGCTCCCTAACTCCTGACCCCAAGATACCCCCGCCAGGGTCTTCACTGTCCCATCAAATCTCAAGGTGGCCTCCATATATTCTCCCAGGGGACCTGCTCACGCACCCAGGTGCAGGAGTTCAGTCGTTATGGCCTTTCCGATGCCGGTGCCCCCGCCGGTGACGATGGCCACTTGGCCCTGTAGCAAATCGGCCGCCAAGTAGCTCTTGCTCTTAATCACAGCAGTCATGGCCACCGAAGGACAAAGCACTCCCAGTTGTGAAGAACTTCAGGACAGTAGGCCCGGCCAGGTGACCCAGGCCCCGCCCCGCCCCGCAGCCCGACCCCGCCCCGTCTCTGGCCCCGCCCCTGGGCCAGGCCCCGCCCTGTCTCTGGGCCCAGCCGCTCGGTCCCGCCCTCTGCTTCTCCCTGCAGGACAGCTCCCTGGCATCTGTACCCTGACCGTGTGCGTCCTCCTCCAGCTCAGGTCCCCAGGCACGTGTGTGTGGGTGAGACTTCTCATTTGTTTTCTTTAAAATGCTCATTTTTTTAAAAGGGGAAATGTGTTTTTAAAGTGGAGATGTTCGCTGTTTTGAAAATTCAATGCACAATGTGATCATTTCCTCGATTAATCCAATTTCTCTTCTCACTGTGCCTGTGAGGAGAGAGGATGCGTCTTTGGAGCTCTTGGCTGCACCTCCTGCAGCAGATGACAGGCGAAGCGGGCGGGGCTCTGGCTACAGTGTGTAGCTGGCTGGCAAAGGGGAAACGGACATCCTTAACTGATGGGTGAGAAATCTGGCTTCCAGACCAATTCATTCATGGTTGGCATGAGCCTGAAGGTGGAATTGGGAGCTACAGTTGCAGTTATCCACTGGGCAAAGATTATAAATGATTGTTAAATAAACCAGCCCTACTTGCCCTTCATTTTCTTTCTATCCAGGAATGATGGGAAGAAGCTATGCTTACCAGACTTGTGAACTGCCCGATTTCAGCCTGGCTGCGTGATGATTAATGAGTCCCAAGAAGCCCCTTCCTTGAGGGACGTGTGTACGCTTCCTGCAAGGGCATTTCTGTACATGCCAATCTGGAGGCCTGTTAATTCCTGCTGCAGGCGATCGAGCCTGTGGAGGATGGAAACATTTCCCTGCTTTGCTGCCCAGTAACAATGATTTAGTGTTTGGGTTTTCTTTCCAATTGTTTATCATGCTCAAACCACCAGATTAAGACAGCATTTGAACTTCTTGTACTATGTCATGGGGTCAGAACAGACCTATAGCTGGCCCTCCAGCGGCTTTTCAGAGGCAGTAAATCGCACAGAAGGAGACTGCCCATCCTTCTCCCATAAGCAGCTGGTGAATTCGAACCTAGTACCTTTGGGATGGCAGTGCAGCTTCTCATCACTGGGACACCAGAGCTCCCAAACATAATCTGTTGTTGATGATTTGAACGGCGTACTTTTGTGCTGGCAGTGCAATTCCTTCCCTCTAAGCCACCAGAGCTCCTTCAGCTTCTGGACTCACCAGTTAAAATAGCCCCTGAAGGATCAGAACTTCTGAAAAGTTGGCAGCTCTAGGGTTGTAACAGGTGCATCCGTCTTACTCTAGGTAGGATGCTATTTTAAAATCCATTGCTAATCATGCTGCCTTTCCCCCTGAAAACTATTAAAATAACTGGAGGGGGGAGAATCACCCATTTGTTAGACCCACCAGCTAGAATTCACAGTGTTAACTCATCTTGTTTCATCTCATTGCTATCCTGTCAGAATCAACACAGATGACCCTCACAGGAAGAGACTGTCTATCCTTCTCCCAAGGATCTGCTTATGGATTTGAACCCCCAGAAAAGTATGGTTTGGGGGTTAGCAGCACAACTCCCTCCAGACCTCACTGCCTAGCTCTGTAAGGATTCTCACAGTGAAGTGAGAATCGGGCTGGTTAGTGTGGGATCTTCCGTCACTTCTCCACTGGACTCCATCCACAAGGATGCAATTCTTCCTCACCAGTTACACTTCCTCCTGCTCTCTCCATTGCTCTGCTCGTCTCTGACCTCTTTGTAGAAACACTTCCCTTTTCTCTTTTTTACTAACAGTTTCCAGTTTGTCATTTGGTGCAGTTGAATTGATTCCAACCCATAGCCACCCTATGCACAACAGACAGAATAACACAATGCCCTGTCCTGTGCCATCCTCGCAATAGCTGGGATGTTTGATCCCACTGCTGAAAATTGTGTGTCAATTCATCGTATTTAATTAAAGTTCTTCTTTTTCACTGACTCTGAGCTTTACCAGGTGTGATATCCTTCTCCAGGGACTAGTCGTGCCTGATAACATGTCCAGAGTAAGATGGAGAAAGAGGCACTTCTGTTTAAACTCAAGAAAACTCAAACTCGTGTTGTCAAGTTGGAACAAACTCATGGCTAAGCCTGCAGCAGTTTTTCAGAAGCTGTAAGTCACATGGAAGGATAGTGCTTGTCTTTCTCCAACAGGACAGCGGGTAAATTTAAATCACCTTTGAAGGCCTGTGGATTGCCAGCACGCCTCTTTACCCATTAGGCCACCAGAAACTTAATATAGAAGACAAGAAACCTCTTCAACTTTTCTTCTCTAGGTAGATTTACAAAGGACTCACATATGTTCAACTCATTCCTGTCAAGCCAGAACCAACTCATAATAGACCTTTCAGCAGGTTTTCAGAGGCTGTAAACTGTATAGGTGGAGATTGTCCATCTTTAGGTCCAACTCCTTAGGCTAGTTGTCGGCTGTATAAAAGCCTAATATCCCAGGAACTCGGGAGATGCGCAAATAGATCAGTCTAAAAGCATAACCTTAACTCCATTTTAAAGTCTTGCAAGGGCCTGGAGTCCTTAAAAAGCTGCCTCTCCAAAAGACAGTTCCTTTAACCTTGATGGGTGACAGTTTCTTTAATCTTTTTTCTAGGAGCAGCTAGTAGAGACTGGACTGCAGATCTTACCGGACTCACTAGCTCACCTCGATTTACATGCTTCCTACACTGATATGACCTTATTCACTTTTGCCATGCTTTCTCCCTTCCACTATATGCCTGAGAGAATAAACTCTTCTGTTTACTAGCCCTTGTTAAATCCTCCATGTTCTCTCTGCAATTAACTGTTACAGCATTTTACATGAGTCAGAAGATGTCTTGCATTAGGAAATTCTGAAGTCAGCTATCTCTCTAAATTGCTGAGGAGCAACGATGTCACCTTGCGGACCAAGATGTGCCTGATTCAGGCCATGGTCTTTTCCAACACTTCCTATGCATACTGAAAGGCTGACAATGAACAAGGATGATAGAAGATGATGATGCCTTTCAGAGACGTTGTGTCAGAGAAGAATCTGAATATCCCATGTTGTTGTCATGTGCAGTCGAGTCATTTGGGACTCAGAGTGACCCTGTGTACAAGAGCTTTCAATGCTGTTCTATCCTGTGCCAGCATAGCGATCTCAAACGCACTTATTCCCACCGCTCCAGTCACAGAATTGATCCATCTCATGGGAGGTTTTCCTCTCCTTCGCTGCCCGCCCCCACTCTGCCAAACATGATGTCCCTCTCCAAGGATCAGTCCCTCCTTGCAACATGCCCAAAGTATGTCAGACGAAGCTTCAGAATCCTCCAGGGAACATTCTGTTTTCACCCTCTCCAGGACAAACCTGTTTGTTCTCCTAGCAGTCCATGGTATATTCAACACTCTTCTCCAGCACCACAGCTCAAAGGCATCAATTCTCTTT